TTCCTACCTGAACCCGTTTTTGCACATGGTCAGTTATATTTTGCTTTCTCTCGAGTTCGAAGAGCATGTGATGTTAAAGTTCTAAATACTTCATCACAAGGGAAATTAGTCAAGTATTTTGAAAGTGTTTTCTCTCTTAATGTGGTGTACAGGGAGATATTAGAATAAGTTTAATCACTTTATCAGTCATTGTTTGCATCACTGTTTTCATATCATGTTTTTGTTGTTTTCATATCATGCCTCTGTTGTTGTTATATCCTTTTGTTACTGTTTATTTATTAATAAATTTATATATTATTTTCATATACATTTTACTAATTTCCTTTCATCTCTCACATTTCTATTACAGAGAAAGGGCAAATAGCAATGTTAAAATATCTCTGCTAATTAATTCCTTTTTTAAAAAAAATATATTTTATTGATTTTTTACAGAGAGGGAGAGGGATAGAGAGTTAGAAACATCGATGAGAGAGAAACATCGATCAGCTGCCTCCTGCACACTCCACACTGGGGAAGTGCCCGCAACCAAGGTACATAACCTTGACCGGAACCGAACCCAGGACACTTGAGTCCGCAGGCCGATGCTCTATCCACTGAGCCAAACCGGTTAGGGCAATTAATTCCCTTTTAATGTGCATGAATTTCGTGCACTGGGCTACTAGTTGTAAATAATGCTGCAATGAACATGGGGTTACATATATCTTTTTGAGTTAGGGTTTTTGTTTCCTTTGCATAAATATCCAGAAGTGGAATTACTGGATCATATGGTAGTTGTATTTTTAATTTTTTAAAGGAATCTCCATACTGTTTTCTATAGTGGCTGCACCAACTTGTATTCCCCTGGAAAAAAGCTTTCCTTTTTTCCACATCTTTGCCAACACTTGTTACTTCTTATCTTTTTGGTGATAGCCATTCTAACAGGTATGAGATGGTATCTCATTGTGGTTTTGATTTACATTTTTCTGATGATTAATGTTGAACATTTTTTTCATGTACCTATTGGCCATCTGTATGTCTTCTTTGGAAAAATGTGTATTTAAATCTTCTGTTCATTTTTAAAATCAGATTTTTTTGCTATTGAGTTGTATGAATTCTTTATTTAACCACTTATTGGATATATGATTTGCAAACATTTTCTCCCATTCAGTAGGTTGCCTTTTTATTTTGTTGATGGTATCTTTTGCTGTGCAGAAGCTTTTTAGTTTGCTGTTTTCCTACTTGTTTATTTTTATTTTGTTGCTTTTACTTTTGGTGTCTGATTCAAAAAATCATCTCCAAGACCTATGTCATGGACCTTACACCTATGTTTTTAAAATTATTATTATTTGCTAATTATTGTATTATTTTCTCTTTTAAATTTATTTTATTGTTGACAGTATTACAGATGTCTTCCATTTCCCCCCATTTACCCCACTCTGCCTAGCCCCTACCCCTCATCCCCTAGGTCTTCACTACCCTATTGCCCATGTCCGTGGACTACACATACCTATGTATATAAAAGCCTAAGCAACCGGCCAATCGGCTGGTAGCTGTGATACACAATGACCACCAGGGGGCAGAAGCTCCAACCGGTAGCTATGATGCACACTAACCCCCAGGGGGCAGATACTCAACACAGAAGCTGCAGAGCTGCGGTGACTTGGTAGCTGCGGTTCTCGGGTGACGCACCGGTAACCAGAGAGGAGGGAGCCCAATTCTGGGGTGCATCACCTAAGAACCGCCCTCTCGCAATCTGGGACCCCTCAGGGGATGTCTGAGAGCTGGTTTCAGCCTGATCCCCACAGGCCAGGCCGAGGGACCCCACTGGTACACGAATCCGTGCACTGGGCCTCTAGTCTATACTAATCTATACTAATAAAAGGTAATATGCTAATTAGGGCGGATGTCTTCTGGATGTCCTTCCGGACAAAGCCGCAGCGGCTGCCTGAGGCCCAGGCAAGCTGCAGATGGCAGCTGCTGTTGCCCAGGGTCGGCCTGAGGCTTAGGCAAGCCGCGGATGGCGGCTGCCGCTGCCCAGGGTCAGCCCAGGGTCGCCCGGCTGCGAGGCCCAAAGCTCAGGCAGCCAAGGCGGTGATGGGGGCTGCGCCTTCCCCTGATCGGCCAGGTCACCTCTGGCAGAGGGAGGCCAGACAGCGGCTTAGCCTGGGGGCCGAGTAAGAGGTGGTTAAGGGTGATCAGGCCAGCAAGGGGGCAAGGTAGGGACGATCAGGCCTGCAGGGGCCAAGGTAGGGGCAATCAGGCCAGCAGGGGGGTAAGGTAGGGGCTAAACCAGCAGTTGGACATCCCCTGAGGGGTCCCAGATTGGAAAGGCTGCAGGTCTGGCTGAGGGACCCCCCCTGCCCCCATGCACGAATTTTGTGCACCAGGCCTCTAGTAAGTATATAAGTTCTTTGGTTATTCTCTCCTCATCCCCCCATCCCCACATGGAGGTATGTCAGTCTGTTCCATGCCTCTATGCTTCGGGTCTTGTTTTGTTGGTCAATTCGTTTTGCACCTATGTTTTCTTCTAGGAATTTTATGGTTTTAGGTTTATGAGCAAGTTTTTAGTCCATTTTGAGTTCATTTTTATGAATGGTGTAAGATAGGGTCCGATTTCATTTTTTGCATGTGGCCATCTAGTTTTTCTAACACCATTTATCGAAGAGATTGTCCTCTCCCCATTGTATATTCTTGGCTTGTTTGTCACAAATTAATTGATCATATATGTGTAGGTTTATTTCTGGCTCTCTATTCTGTTCCATTGATTGATGTGTCTGTTTTTATGCCAGTGTCATATCATTTAATTACTATAGTTTTGTATCAGTGTTTAAAATCAGGGAGCATCATGCCTCCAGCTTTGTTGTTCTTTCTCAAGATTTCTTTGGCTGAGTTTTTTTTTCTTTTTTTTTCAGTTTTTGTTCCTTTTTGAGAATGTGAGAACAAATCAATAGTTGGCCTGAAGATTTTAAAAGTTGAGTTTAAGCAAGCATTCATAGTTCTATTTTCTATTTTGAATTTACTTCAGTTTCAGAACTTTCTGAGCTTTTGTTAGTTTGGAAATTAGTTAAAACCAGAGCTGGGTGGGTAACACTACTTTGGCAAATGCTCAAAGTTATCCCTGCTACTTTTCCACTGTTGAAACCATCATAGAATGTCTGCTTTTACCAAACATCTTGTTCTACGTCAATTACCATATGTGGAGGGAATGGTGGTTTTGTTTTTCCAGAAGAAACTTAATTTCTCTAATTTTAAAAGTAATGTACGTACAAACAACAATAAAAAAGAAAAAAGGTTTAAAAAAACAACAAAAAATAGAAGTAATGTGTGTACATTGTAAAAACAATATCCAGAAAATATAAAATAGTATAAAAATAAATGAAAAAGCATTCATTTTACCCAGAGAGATAACTAGTATTAAGTGACCAACATTTCTTCCCTGGTGTGTGTGTGTGTGTGTGTGTGTGTGTGTGTGTGTGAGAGAGAGAGAGAGAGAGAGAGAGAGAGAGAGAATAAGAGAGAGACACACTAATGAAAGGGAGGAACTCATACTGTAATTGCTGTTTTGTATCTGCTTTTATCTTAATAAATTGTGCATACTTTCCAGTTAGTAAATTAAAAAATCCACACCCTCATTCTAATGGCTATGTAATGTCCCATTGTTTAGACATACCATCATTTATTTGAATTATTTCCTGTTGATTGCCATTTAGGTTATTCCAACAATGCTATGATAATCATCTTTTGCCAAACATTTTTGTATTTTTGCTTGATTACCTTCTTAGGATAATGTATTTCTAGAAGTGGAATTTGTGAGTCAGAGAGTAGACACATTTACCAAAGATGATAAGAGTTTCAACTCCTACTCTACAGTGTAGGAGTGATCTTTTCCCTACACCCCTGCCAACCCTGTTCTCTGGCTGTTTGCCTTAGACTGGAGGGCAATTCTGAAAAACTGTTATATCCTCCTCATTGCCAAGAAGCCCTTCCCAGAGGAAGTGGGAAGCAGAAGAAGCTGCCACGCCCTGGGCCACTCTCCAGGATGGCCCTAGCTAACGTCATCTACCACCACCACCACCACCACCACCACCAGAACACTTGAGAAAATAGCACTGCAGAGGATTGGAGAGGTTGCTCAGAGCTTAGCTGGGGGAGTACAAGGAGTGATCATTCAGTGAGTGGCAGGACTTACTACTTCCTCTTTTAGGGTCAATTTAATGTTAAGATGCCAGTTGTCTAGAGTAAAATAAACATCCTATATAATAAAAGGGTAATATGCAAATTGACCCCAATAGCAGAACAACCAAGAACAACCAGTCACTATGACGCACACTGACCACCAGGGGGCAGGCACTCAATGCAGGAGCTGCCCCCTTGTGGTCAATGCACTCCCACAGGGGGAGCTCCGCTCAGCCACAAGCCAGGCTTATGGCTGTGAGTGCAGCGGCGGTGGTGGGAGCCTCTCCCGCCTCCTCAGCAGCATTAAGGATGTCCGACTGACAGCTTAGGCTCACTCCCTGGCTTCCAGACTGCGAGAGGGTGCAGGCCAGGCTGAGGGACCCCCTCCCCTCCCAAGTGCATGAATTTTTGTGCATTTGGCCTCTAGTAAATTATATAAGACTAGGGGCCCGGTGCACGAAATTTGTGCACTGGGGGGGTTCCCTCAGCCCACCCTGCCCCCTCTCACATACTGGGAGCCCTCAGGGGATGTTCCACTGGCGGCTTAGGCCCGCTCCCTGCTTCCCTTGGGGAACGGGCCTAAGCCGCAGTCTGGCTTCCCTTTGTGGGAGGGACCCGGCTGATCAGGGGCAGGCACCAGCCCCATCACCCTGCTGCTGCAGCCACTGCCAGTCACCGCAGCCACCAAGGTGTTTTCATCAACACGGACTCCAGTCCCTTCACCATGAAAAAATGACAACTTTCTTTAGGCATTTTCAAGATGTGTCTTTCATAGGATATGACATTTCTTTCTTTCTTTATCCTCACCTGGGGATATGTTTCCATTGATTTTTAGAGAATGTGGAAGAGAAAGGGAAAGACAGAGAGAAACATCAAAGTGAGAGGAACACTTTGATTGATTGCCTCCTGCATGAGCCCTGACCTGGGCCCAGGCCAGGGAGGAGCCTGCAACCTAGATACATGCCCTTGGTCAGAATTGAACCCAGACCATGCGGTGGGCAGGCCGAAGCATTATCCATTGAGCCAAACCGGCTAGGGCAGGATATGACATTCTTAACCCTCCAGCAGCGGACCTTTGTTTTTTTCTCCAGGAGTGAAGTGGAAAAACCCTAGATCACCTTTTTGAATTCTTATTACCCAAGTTACTAAGAATATTACCAGTGGCATACAGGGAGCTTAGCCAGTCAGCAGTCAGAAAAGGTGTTTCCTCTGTAGTTCACACCAATTGCTGGTTTGGCCCCTGCCCAGGCCTAACGCCTCTGGCGAGTCATTAGCCCTGGGCCAGGGCACCCTCAGCTCCAAGCCACCGTGGCCATCAAGGATCGCTGGCTGGCTGCGCCCCGGTTCGGGCCGCCACCACCATCAAGGATCGCAGTCTCAGCCCTGCCCAGGAGCCCCCTGGCTCAGGCCCTTCCTAGGCTGCTCAGGGCCCACACGGGGCCTACCTCGGAGTGACCTGGGTGCCGATGATGTTCCCAGACCCAGGCCGCTGGGCGCCTATGTATGCAAATTAATCACCACCTTTGTTGGGTTAATTTGCATACTCATCCGATTGGCTGGTGGGCGTAGTGGAGGGATGGTCAATTTGCATGTTTGTCTATTATTAGGTAAGATTTAATATAAAACAAAAATATTTTCCATTGATGTGGGCATTATAAATGCTTAGTATGTACACACCAATAACTTTTAGAACACCAATATTTTTAAAAGAATAACTGAATGGGTCATATTTAATTTGTCCTTCTTGTTAGAGAAAACTTCAGAACTGGCCAGTCTTTATTCCAGAGGAAATTTGTATGGTGAGCTAAAGAATTATAACCACAGTGATTCAAACCAAGCCTTGTAATGAGTATGGGCAAACTACAGAAGGGTTTTTTGTTTGTTTTAAATATTCTCACTGGTATTTCATGAGTTGTGGTATGAACAACAGATGTTTATGACTCTTTAGTTTTACTGCTAATTGTCTCCTCCCCACTCACACATGGAGTTTTCCATTTTGATCACTGCTACAACTTTTGAATGCTTTCTTTTCTGATGTATGTATTTGGCTTTTTACAGAAGAATCTCTGATTGAGGAGGATAATTTGCGGCTCTAGCCAGGCATCTTTGTGTAGCAATGATTTTCCTTTGTACATGTAGGTTTGACGAGAAGAGGGCAGTGCAGCAGCTGAGAGCATGTGGTGTCCTGGAAACCATCCGCATCAGTGCAGCAGGCTTCCCCTCTCGGTGAGCTTGGCAGTTTTCAAATAGAAGGGATCCTAATGAGATCAACTCCTGCTTCTTTAAGCTGACGCGAGTTTCTTTTAAAGGTGGACTTACCAAGAATTTTTCAGCCGCTACCGTGTCCTAATGAAGCAAAAAGATGTGCTGAGTGACAGAAAGCAAACATGCAAGAATGTATTAGAGAACCTGATCCCAGTAAGAAAAATTTTCACTTATCTTTATCTGAACAGATTATGGCCAAAGGCCTTGTGATTATAATCTGTGGAAGCCCTGGGAACATCCAAATGCCACTATTCCAGATTATTCAGGGCTGGGCGGATGGAGGGCACACTGGCTTGGAGATCAAGGCTCACTGTATTTAGCATGCTCGGGCTAACTGGTGAGGATGGTGGTCCTCCTCAGGAAACTGGTGGCAAGGCCTGGACCCAGGCTTGAGTCACATTCTTTTTACAGTTTTATCATTATCAATAAAAATTTACCTAGTATTTACTTATGGGAAATATCAGGCCAGATGCTGTGTGATTAAGAAAAAATAAGTCTTATCCTCAGGTAACATAATCTATCTCGGAAATTAATGCATTTTAAAGGTAAGTATAATATAGTGTCTAGCAAATGCTGAGTGAGTGAGACAGGAAATCAGCAAGGCAAAGCCACATCTGCCATGTAAAGGAGGAACAATTTCATGGAAGACCTGTGTTTTGAGTCGGACTGGATAACATTATATAAAAGTAGAAGGAGAATATTGTAATAGGAAGCATGGTGTGAAGAGGTAGGAAACCATAGAGTTTGCTCAGAAAACATTAATGTAGTTTCTTTGCAGTATAAGATTAGTCTGTGGGACAGTAAGGAAATGCCTAGGAAATGTAGGTTGGTGTTTGGTGAGTCTTGCATTCCAAACTAAGGCGTACTCAAACTTTAAATGCATTAGTCCCCTGGAGGACTTGTTAAAACACAGATTGCTGGGCCCCACCCCCAGAATTTCTGACTCAGTAGGTCTGGGATGGGTCTAACAACCTGCATCTCTAAGAAGTTACCAGGTGATGCTGATGCTGGTCTGAGGACTACACTTTGGGGCCCACTAATCTAGGTCATGGAAAATTTAAGATTCATGAAAGATCTTAAAAAGTATTTTTACTTGTTTGACAGTAGTTTAGATGGGTTATCTCACTTTGAGGCAGTCATAATTAACTAAATGGAATATCTTCTTTTTGTAATAATAACATTTTTTTTCCCCGTTGGAAAAGGTAAGACCACTTTCTTAATAATGTGTAAAAGAATTGGGAACTTTCTGAGTTTGGCCTGACTCCTTTCTAACCTGTGTTCAGATGGGACTGCAGAGCAGAAAGTAAGGACAGTCCTATGCCTAACACCCCACCCCACCCCCAACTCCCCATCCAGACCTGGTTCAGGGCCTTGCAGGTTACAAATTGAGGAGTGCAGGCTGGTGTGGGGTGGAGTCGGGGAAACTGAGATCAGGCCAGGAGAAGGAAAGGTAACCACTTTTTAGCTCTTTTTATATCTCCAGCTAGGCTTCCTATGTAAATTTTATTGATTAAAATTGAAATAATTTTAGATTTATGTGGAGATTTCTGATTTTCTGATTTTATGTACAAGATAGGAGATTTTTGCTTACAGTGAAAAGTAATTTTCTGTTGCCCTGGCCAGTGTGGCTCAGTTGTTTGAGCATCGTCCTTTGCACCAAAGGGTCATCGGTTTGATTCCCAATCGGGGCACATGCTCAGGTTGCCATTTCGGTCCACAGTCTGGGTACATGCTGGAGGCAACACATAGATGTTTTTGTTTTTTTTCTCTCTCCCTTCCTCTCTCTCTCAAATAAATAAAAACATATCTTAAAAAATAATTTTCTGTTTTTACACAGATTATATTAGTGATGATTATAAATAAATTCCACTCTTGTATGAGAATAACCATTGCAGGCTTCCAAATAAGGTGGATCAGAGTGTAATGGACCAAAAATTGCATATATCTCTGTGTTTACTGCTCGGCTCTGCTTATTATCAAAAGTAAATGAACAATATAAGTGGTCATATTTTTGTAAAAGGAATTTTGAAATTTGTACAAGTAATTTATAGGGTTTTATGTATTTATTTTCAGATACTATTGATAGTGCAAAGATATAACAAGAAATTTATGAGTGCACGAAGTTTTTTTGTTTAATTTTTATTTTGTGTGCATTGCTTCCTGCCTTATTCTTTATACTGGTGTTTTTGTCCCTTCAGCTTTCACATGGAACACACAGCCCGATGTAATCCTTACAGCCTGGGTCAGTCAGAGGGAGTGTCAGCATCTCCATTTCCTTGAAATATTTAAAATACAAACAAGCAAATAATAGCTGCCTATAACCCACAACCAAGGTTTTGGCCTCAGATAATAATTCCAGGTAGAATAATCTAGAAAATCACTCTTAAACTGCAGTTTTCCTTAAAATCCCTTCTATTTGCTCAACTTGCATAAGATCAAAAATCTGGCTCCATTAGTTAATTGTGATGTAGCCCAAGTTTTAGCTAATAGATTCATCCCTTTACTGATTCTGCTTTTAGATGTATTTTTTCTCTTTTACAGTTTTATTTATATGTTCATTATTTCAACTTCTGAATGTATAATTTCTTCCAAAAATAGGACAAGGACAAATACCAGTTTGGTAAGACAAAGATCTTTTTCCGTGCTGGTCAAGTGGCCTATCTAGAAAAATTGAGGGCAGACAAGCTGAGGGCTGCCTGCATTCGGATCCAGAAGACAATCCGAGGGTGGCTGCAGCGGAAGAAGTACCTGCGCATGCGGAAGGCAGCCATCACTGTGCAGAGATATGTGCGAGGCTACCAGGCCCGATGGTAGGTCTCCTGGGGACCCTCCACTCTGGCTCACCGCTCCTAAGGATTGCACAGCTCATCAGATTCATTGTCCAAACCAGGACAGTTTTGAGTGGTCACCCAGTATGAGAAGGCAATACCTCACCTCTTCTTAGATTCAAGGAATAACAAATGAACTCATAAGACAATTAAATAGAAAAAAATTTCACTCACCCTTATGATTTATTCAGAATCATCTTCAAAATAATTACAAATTATTGTGTGCTCATGTCCTCAGTATCTTTTATTTTTTATATTTTTATATGGGCTTGAAGAAGTTATCTGTAAACTAAAACAGTCATGAATATGAGCTAGTTAATAATGACTCCATTGAGAAGTTTTCAGGAGCAATAAACTGTGAAAGTGTTTCTAGAATTACACTTCAGTGTGATTATATATTTGGATAATTTTAATTTAGAAATATCAGTAGAAATGAATTAATGATAAAGAACTTATGCCCAGAAAGAGTTTGAAAAATATTGTACATTAGCAAAGGGTGGATTTAAGAAAGCTAGTGATGAGTAAGTATGAGATTACTGTGTACAGCCAGTCTGCTGTGCAAGGGGGACATAACCTGGGGTAATGAGCACTGTCCTAGAAAGAATGAACCTTTATGAGCTTCATTCTCTTTATTGTAAAATCAGGTAATATGGGACATCATGATCAGGACGGCTTAAATAAAATAATGAATAAAAAATATTTGGGGGAACTATAAATTGCTATGATATAAGAAATAGGAATGTTGATTTAATATTGTATATTACTAGAATAATACAATGGAGGTATTACTTATGCCGAAGATATTGGTTCTTTAAGTCTCTACAAAATCTATTCCTGGGTTTTTCTGATTACTAACAAATGCACCGCTTCTTTCTTTGGTCAGCTATGCTAAGTTCCTGCGCAGAACTAAGGCAGCGACCATCATTCAGAAGTACTGGCGCATGTATGTAGTCCACAGGAAGTACAAAAGTAAACGAGCTGCCACTATTGTTCTTCAGTCTTATTTACGAGGCTACTTGGCCAGAAATAGGTATCGCAAGGTAAGTCATTATTTTCAACTTTATTTATTCCATTAATGTTAATCAAATTTCACATCTGTACACCACAGAGGTTCCAATGGACATAGGAGGCATATGGAGGTAACCAACAATTGAAGTATATTTTAAAATATTAAATAAGTGCATATATTTAATTAACAAGACAATGGAAAAAGAAAATTTACCCCCTTTTTATCTCTCTTGACAATGTAATGTGAAGAAAACTTAGTGTACTAGTTTCCTATAGATGTCATCAAGTTGGTGGCTTAAAACAATAGAAATTTATTTTCTCAGAGTTCTGGAGGTCAAAATTCCACAATCAGTATCAACCAAAATCAGGGTGTCGGCAGGGCTGTACTCCCTCCTGAAGCTCTAGGGGAGAATCCATTCCTTGTTCTTCCAGCTTCTGATGGCTACCAGTATTTCATGTGTTTGTGGCCATATCACTCCAATCTCTGCCTTTTTTTTTTTTAATTCTCACCTGAGGATATTTTTCCATTGATTTTTAGGAAGAATGGAAGAGAGAGGGAAAGACAGAAAAACATTGATATGAGAGGAACACTTCAATTGGTTGACCAGGGCCCAGACTAGAGAGGAACCTGCAACCAATGTACATGCTCTTGACCAGAATGGAACCTGGGACCCTTTGGTCCGAAGGCCGTCGCTCTATCCACTGAGCCTAACTGGCTAGGGCCAATCTCTGCCTTCATCTTCACGTCATCATCTCTACTGTGTGTCTAACTTCCCTTCTTTTGTCTGTCTCTTATGAGAATATTTGTGATGGATTTAGGCCCCACAAGGATAATCCAGTATAATCTCCTCATCTCAAGATTTTTAGCTTAATCACATCTGCAAAAACCCTTTTCCCAAATGAGGTACCTTTGACAGATTCCACAGATTAGGATCTGATATCTTTGGGGGCCTCTATTTAACGCACTGTGGTGAGCTTTGAAGAGGTAGAATATATGACATATGTGTGGAAATTTGTTCCAAGAATGAAAAACCTTGTAATAATTTACTGTAGTGAAAAGGAGATAAATAACATTAATGTGGTTAAACTTGTACTGACTAGACTATGATGTTCTGAGCATTTTTGACAAATAATCTTTATGGCAATAATCAACATGACAAAAATAATGGATCACCAGATTAATTTTAAAAAATATATTTTTATTGATTTTAGAGAGGAAGGGAGAGATAGAAATATCAATGATGAAAGAATCATTGATCGGCTGCCTCCTGCACGCCCCACACTGGGGATCTAGTCCGCAAGCTGGGCATGTGCCCTGATCGGGAATTGAACTGTGACCTCCTGGTTCATTGGTCGATGCTCAACCACTGAGCCAGCCATGCTGGCTGGGCACCAGATTAATCTTAATCATCACCTCTGACAATATATGATCTAGTTGAAAGATTTTTCTCTTTCATTTTGGCAAGGTTTTGAGTTTGTCCTTCATGATATATTCCTAACAAGCCAGAAGTACAGTCTAGAATTCAGCGGTTCTCAACTTGTGGGTCGTGAACAATGAAAATACATCCTGCATATCAGATATTTACATTACAATTCATAACAGTAGCAAAATTACAGTTATGAAGTAGCAACAAAAATAATTTTATGGTTGGGGTTCACCACAACACGAGGAACTGTATTAAAGGGTCGCGGCATTAGGAAGGTTGAGAACCACTGGTAGATCTTAGAGCTCTGTGGGCACCACTGGTAGAAGAAGCATCAATAGAGCGCTTTGAGGGACAGGTCTCTAATCACAGGCAGTCTGTGAGGGTGGCCTAAGCCCTATTCATGTATGTATTTTACTTTATTTTGAAGTAATTTTAGACAACAACGAAAAATGAAAAACTAATGAGGCTTGAACGAGAATATTTAATGGCTGTGTTTTGAAGAAAATTTGAGAATAGCTACTCCAGCTCTTTCTTTCTGCCCATGCTGGCTTTATACTCTGGTGTTCTTTCTCTACAAGCATGAGCTTTCAGGGGAAGGAAACGCCTTATTCAACTTTTAGATACACCAAACTGGTTACACTTCCGTTTTCTTGATGACTCTCCTCAGGATCATCTATCTGAACTGGGTTTTGAGGCCATTGATTGAGCAGTAGCAGTGTCTGGCCTGCTCAGCTCCAACTGACGACACATGGGAGTGGCAGTTAGAGGCCAGCTCACGTATAGGCCACTAGTGCTTCTTTGGGCCGTGTTTTCGGTGTTTCCAGTCCAGGCTTCCCCTTCTTATGGCTTGGGAATCTAAGGGAGAGGAGACATTGTTTAATATCTCTAACTCACTAATGGAGATGAGATTGCGAATGGAAGATCTAATTATATACTGTTTCCACTTGACTGAAATGACAGAAATGGGCCAGTGTCTGAAGTTACATGGAGAGAAGGAAATGGAATAGGAAAATTAACATTCATAGCTCTGCCACTGTGTGCTGCTTGGCTTTGAAAGTCTGAAATTTGCCATTACTGAGTCTTACCCAGTTGGTCACTAGTCATCAGGATAAGACAAGAGGCTCCCTTGGGGTCATGATGTTCGGGGAGGGCTCAGGATGGGACCTCACTGCAGCGTGATGCACAGTGACTGCACTCAGTGGAAAGCAGACTGTCTTAGCGTTAGATAAGCAGCCAAAGGGGAGCCTTGACTTGGCAAAGGTCTCCTGAGCACTTAGGTTTATTTTGTATTTGGTGGTTTAATACTTAACCACTTATTTCTTCACTGTCTCCTCTAGAATGCACTTTTTTTCATTGTTTTTCTCAGGTCCGTAACCAAAAAATAGGAACTATTGTTTTAATGATTTTATTAAACTGCTATCTATTTGAATAGATGGTTTTAGAATCTTTTTAAAAATATATTTTTATTGATTTCAGAGAGGAAGGGAGAAGGAGAGAGAGATAGAAACATCAACGATGAGAATCATTGATTAGCTGCCTCCTGCACGCCCCACACTGGGGATGGATCCCACAACCCGGGCATGTGCCCAGACCAGGAATTGAAACCTGACCTCCTGGTTCATAGATTGATGTTCAACCACTGAGCCACGCAGGCCGGGCCAGAAATGTTTACATTTAGAAAGTTTCCTAAGAGATACATTGTGTTCATTTGTAAAAATCCTATATAATAAAAGCCTAATTAATATGCTAAGTGTCTGGTCATCCGGTCGTCCGTTAAACCAATCAAAGTGTAATGTACTAATGATATACTGAGGCTGCTGAACCACTTGCTATGACATGCACTGACCACCAGGGGGCAGATGCTCCAACCGGTAGGTTAGCTTGCTGCTGGGGTCTGGCTGATGGGGACTGAGCAAGACGGGCCAGACACGTCCTGGAGCCCTCCCGTGATCCCTTCCCGGCTGGCCAACCTTCTGCGTCCCTCCCCAGCCCTGATTGTGCACTGGTGGGGTCCTTCAGCCTGACCTGGTCCTTCTCACAATCCGGGACCCCTCGGGGGATGTTGGAGAGCTGGTTTCGGCTTGATCCCACAGGCCAGGCCGAGGGACCCCACTGGTGCACAAATTCATGCACTGGGCCTCTAGTTACTAAAAAGTGCTAATAATCACTAATAATTACTAATAAGTAATCACTTGAGTGCATACATTTAAATATCATTTATATCATACAAGAGTTGTTTTATAAAATCATAGACTTAGAAGGACCTTAGAATGTTTTAATAGTTCACCCTTTATTAATTTCAAGATTTTCTTTTCCATCATTCCTGGAAATTGTTTAGACCAAGCATGTCAAACTCAAAGGCTAACACGGGCCAAATAAACGAGGCATGCAGCTCGTAGGCCGCAAGTTTGACATACTTGGTTTAGAAAATCTCTGCATTTTGTTGTTGTTAATTCTTACCAGTGGGTATTTTTTCCATTGTTTTTTTTTTTAAGAGAGAGTGGAAGAGAGGGAGGGAGAGAGAAAGGGAGAGATAAAGGCAGAGAGAGAGAGACATCAATGGACTGTTTGCCTCCTGCACACGTCCTGGCCAGGGCTGGGGATCGAACCTGCAACCCAGGTACATGTCCTTGATTGGAAATCAAATCTGTAACCCTTCAGTGTGTGGGCTGAAACTCTAACCACGGAGCAACACCATCCAGGGCTAGACAATCTAGCTTGATGGTCTTAGTGATAAGAAATTCTTCCTATAAGGCGATCTTTTGTTACAAGTTATTTATAAATTTAGGGTAATATCTTCTTATTTAGAAAGTATAACAAAATCAAAATTAAGATTTGTTTATTTCCCTCTATCTTACTTTTAGCTTTCCTTTTAAAGCTTTATCCCTACTACCTTTGACTCCCATAAGTGGGTTCCTGTTACATTTGAAACAGCAATGGGAAATCCTCACTAGAATATTATTTCTCAATTAGGGCAACCAACAGTGTCATTTTTTGTTTGTTTCTGGAAAAAAATCAATAAATTAATAATAAACTTTGCAGTACTCCAACTGTTGGCCTCTACAGCCAGCTTACTGGCCATATCCCATGTCCTCAAGAAGCATAGATCTAATGCACAGTGAGATGGTATCAGCAGTAAGGGTGGTGGCCAAGTCTTTTATTTTAATAGCATGTAATTCACAGGGTGCCAAGTTCTGTTCACTTTATAGAGGATCGCCTGTTGCGACAGATAGCATGCACCAATAGGATACCTAGTGTGTTTTTTCTTTATTTTTAGAATTGTTTTTATTTAGATAGTTTCTGTGTGTACACAAAGCATGTTAAACTCGCAGCCGTCAGGCTGCAGGCCTCATTTATTTAAACAAGGCCTGTGGCCCGCCTGCCGTGAGTTTGACATGCTTGGTGTATTCTCTGTTTCTTAAATTACCCTTCAAAGTCTACTTTTTAAATCACCTTGTAAAACAATTTTGTGCTTGCATATATTTGTTATATGTACAATCTTCATATTACATTGTTACTTCAACTTTTGTGTCTTTCGCTTTATGGCTTCTCAGCCTGACAGTCATAGGTTGATAGAATTGAACCCTGAGTCTAGTCTAGAGTCTGATGTTGTACATACCTTTCTCTGCAGATACTCCGTGACCACAAAGCAGTCATCATTCAGAAGTGGGTCCGAGGCTGGCTGGCTCGCACCTACTACAAGAGGAGCCTGCATGCCATCATCTACCTTCAGTGCTGCATACGGCGGATGATAGCCAAGCGCGAGCTGAAGAAGCTCAAGATTGAGGCCCGCTCCGTGGAGCGCTACAAGAAACTCCACATCGGCATGGAGAACAAGATCATGCAGCTGCAGCGCAAAGTTGATGAACAGGTGTGTTTTGAACAGGACCCTGAAAGTGAGCATGCCTAAAGAAGCCCACTGGGATTGTGGTCAGCGGTGTCTCCCCTGGACTTTACCCTTTGGTCTTAGCAGAAAAGTAAAATAATAATGACAGTAATGAGAATGGAAATAGTGATGAGTTCATAGGTACGAGTATCACTGCAGGAAACTATTTTTGAGCATACAACCAGATTTACTAACACTCCAGACCTTTATGACTAAGAGCCATAGTGTACTTTATACCTCACCAAGCTCTTTCGTCACTGCCAGTCATTTGCATGTAGTATAATGCTCCTTTCACAGGTGACTTGTTTAACATTGAGGTGACAAAAAAAGCAGTAAGATGTCCATGCTTCTGAGGAATCTACAGCCTGTTTGCAGAGATAAAAGTTTGGTTTCTTAGAGATAGTTACTAAGTAATATTTTAGCACATGCAAATGATATAAAGGTCATTAGTACTACATAAATACTGCATAAGGCAAAAAAGCCCACAATGAAATAGGGTTCATCAGAAATGTTTTCTGAGTGTGAGGAGGAGCTTGAGGTAGTAAACAAAGAGATCTGTAAGAAATTTGTGATTTTGAGGCCATTTTATCATTCTTATGCATCACCTGGCTAGCACATGACTTTTAGTAGCACAATGATTTGTTTTCAAAAGCAAGTATAGATTTTCCTATTTTTGGATTAAGAATCAGGAAATTAAGAATTTCCTCTGGTAACTCGCCTTGCAGCTAAGAGAAAAATCACATCTATGTTGCTCATTGTGTAAAACAGAAATAATGCTGTCTATTCTCTTCTCTTTATATCACTAAGAGAGTATTGATTATGTTACTATAAATGTTGTGCTTAGAATTTTGGTTAGATACTGTAACATTATGATGATATAGCATGACTGTGATGAATAAGCCTAGTTTTCTGAGTAAATACATTTGATGGCATGTCTATTTACTTATTGTTTGTGTGTGTTTAAAGAACAAAGACTACAAATGCCTCATGGAGAAATTGACCAATCTGGAAGGAATATACAACTCTGAGACTGAGAAACTACGAAGTGACTTAGAACGTCTTCAGCTAAGTGAGGAGGAGGCTAAGATTGCCACTGGACGGGTTCTCAGTCTACAGGAAGAAGTTGCCAAGCTCCGGAAAGACCTGGAACAAACTCGGTCAGAGAAGAAATCCATCGAGGAACGTGCAGATAGATACAAGCAAGAGACCGAGCAGGTAGGAAGGAACTAATTTCACATCCTTTTTACAAAGGAAATGTGCCGTCATCTTGACCTGGCCCTTGTGGCTCAATGTTGGTTTCAGAGCTGAAATATAAATTTTATTATTTGTGTTTCCCAAGCATTTCTTCCACATGATGAGTCAGTAGCTGTTTTAGTAGAACCTTTTGACTATGATGAGAACAGAGGAAAGCAGTATTGTAAGAAGAGAATTAATAGCCATGTCCAATATATACTCTTTATTTTCACATGCATAGGTCTGGATGGAGAGTAGACTCCTTTTTCTTGGGTTAACGTGATTAAGAAGTAAATCATGAACTCTCAATAGCTGATACTAGGGAGCTTTATGGAAATGAATTAAGACTATGTTGAGAAGTCCAAGGAAGAAATCCACATGTCTGCACACTGATTGTAGCCAAGAGCTGCTATGCAGATAGAACAAAACCAAAAAAAAAAAAAATTTTTTTTTAGATTGACCAGTGTTTCCATACTACAAATTTGTATTTACTTATGTTAAAACTTGACTAAAGACAGAAAACATTAAGGTTCTCAAGCAGCAATGAGATGCACTGCTTAAACAAAATAGAAATACCTCAACATAAGGCTTACTGGGGAAACAAGTAATTTTCAGGGAGTCCACTAATGTGACCACCTTTAAGTGAAAACAGAGTTCACTGTTGATTGTAACTATGAGCAAGAATCCTGATGCTCTGTTTCTGCGCTGACATGAGCCTTCTGAGCTCAGTGAGAATCTCTAAAGGGGCGTAGGAGAGTGCACCTAATAAAACTGCAATCCTTCCGTGGTATTCAGGGTCCAATGAAACAGTTCCTCCTATTTCTCTAGCAGATCTGGGCTCTGTATTATGGAAACAGCAATGCCATTAATATGTGTTATTTGACATGGCAAGTTTGTTCTGTCAGAATTTTAAAATGCATTGAAAGCAATTCTCTTGAGGTTTAAGATCTTTATCTCTTTTTTTCTTGTTGCCATTTTCTGAGTCCACAGAAGCTTTCCAGATTCCTCTGAATCTAGAGTATTTAAGCTTGTAGGAAAATTCCTCTTTAAAGTCAAGTTCATACCTTTCTAGTCTGATAGAATAGCACACGTGAACAGATACAGATTTCTCCTTTCTTTTTTTATCTGCTTTTCACAGGCTAGCTATAGGCGTTATTGCTTATTCTTTTGGATAGAGTGTAGCAATGTGGAATGAAAAAACTTCACTGTGACAGCCAGCTTTATGATCAGGAAAGCTGTGTACCTTCAAGGAGCCTAGAAGGTACACTAGACCTGTGCTTCTTAACCAGGAGTATATATCAGAATCTCCTAGGGAGTTTTTTTTTTAATTGTTTTATTGCTTAAATTATTACAAAGGGTATTACATATGTCTCCTTTTTCCCCCGCCCTTGACAATCCCCTGGCCTCCCTACCCCCCAGTGTCTTATGTCCATTGGATATGCTTATATGCATGCATACAACTCTTTCGGTTGATCTCTTACCCTCCCCTCCTGCCCCCCAACCCTCCCCGGCCTTCCCGCTGTAGTTTGACAGTCTGTTCTAGGCTGCTCTGCCTCTGTGTCTATTTTTGTTCATAAGTTTATAATGGTCTTTAGTATCTATAAATGAGTGAGATCATGTGGTATTTTTCCTTCATTGACTGGCTTATTTCAATTAGCATAATGCTCTCCAGTTCCATCCATGCTGTTGCAAATGGTAAGAATTCCTTCTTTTTTACAGCAGCATAGTATTCCATCGTGTCTAGGGAGTTTTTCTTAAAGATACATGCCCAAGCGCTGGGAGTGTGGACGAAGCACATGTATTTTGAAAAAGCATACCCCTGATAAAGAACAGTTTCTCTCAAGAGCATAGGGAACTCGGGTCTTCCTGTTGAGGTGGAGGAAAGGCCAGGCCAGTATGGAGGGATGAGACTGGACCCTCCGAAGGAACACCTGGGGACTTCTGCTGTGGCAGTGCTGCCGTCCACTTCCCTGTTCTCCAGGGATCCTGTCACAGAGCCCTCACTCTCTATCTGAACTCCTGACACTTATCTTTATTATTAGCTATCACTTTTAGAGTTCCTTGAACTTATGCTTAGAGAAGAAATTTAGATTTCACTCATCACAAGTACATTATTTTATTGCAGAGATGAACTGAGTAAATTATGAACTTTGCAAAGTTGTCTTTGGTTTTGACTTTTGCTTCCTGGGAATCCTTATCCAACTAGGAACTAGAAAGTTAAATTAATGTTTTTTTAAAAAATTATTAAAATATACATAGCATAAAATTTACCATATTAACCACTTTTAAGTATATAGTTCAGTGCATTAAATGCATTCACTGTAGTAAGGTCAGTGCTTAAACATGGGGTAAAAGGACTAGTTTACAACCTTGCAAAACTCTTGGGATGAAAGGAAATTCTCTTTTTCAAGACCAACAGCAGGAAGCGTCAGGAAATCTTCAGTGAGTTTCCAGAACCAAAATGCCCTGATGCCAGTCTTTCTTTTTTTTTTTTAAATTTTTTAATTGATTAAGTTATTACATATGTGTCCTTATCCCCACTTTACCCCCCACTCCCCCCACTCATGCCCTCACCCCCCTGTTGTCTGTGTCCATTGGTTAGGCCTATATGCTTGCATATAAGTCCTTTGGTTGATCTCTCCCCCTTACCCCACCCTCCCCTACCTTCCCTCTGAGGTTTGACGGTCTGATCGATGCTTCTCTGTCTCTGGATCTGTTTTTGTTCATCAGTTTATGTTGTTCATTATATTCCATAAATGAGTGAGATCATGTGATATTTATCTTTCTCTGACTGGCTTATTTCACTTAGCATAATGCTCTCCAGTTCCTTGACTTCAAGTCTTTCTTAACCTCTTCAATGTTCTACCTGAATCATGGGTAAGCACGTAGCTTTGTGCTTGGCTGTTGAGGTGAAAAGGCATTATCGTTGCTTTAAGAGCAAATGCTTACGAGGTGCCAGGCAATTGCTAAATGCTCAAGGTACAAAGTAAAACAACAGCAGTAATCATCTTTGTCCTCCAGGAATTTCTAGTCTATTAGGGAAGTAAAAGTAAATCATTTATAAGGACTATAAAGAGGCATAGCAGGATCCTATAGTAGCCCAGCAAAGAAACACTTATTTGGAGAGAGTTTCCAGAAAGGCTTTCTGGATGAGGTATTGCTTGAACCAAATTTGAAAGACGACTAACCATAACTATGCAAAGAAATGAGGCACAGAGATGTGGAAGTAAGGAGTGAGTGACTGCAGTGTGGGCTTTATACTTAGGCCTGGTTTGCTCTGTCTGTTGCAGCTACCTCATTTTATTTCATTTTATAGGTGGTATCAACTCTGAAGGAAGAAAATACTTTGCTGAAGCAGGAAAAAGAGGCCCTCAATCACCTTATCGTGGAACAGGCTAAGGAGATGACAGGTAAGGCTCACGTGGGTTCAAACTAATGCATGCTAACCAACCTCCCAAAGTTTTATAAGATGCCACTTTTTTTTTAATCCTCCTCAAAAGAGGGAAGGAGGAATGGGGAGGGAGGGAGGGAAAGGGAGGGAGGGAGGGAGGATCATTGATAAATTGCCTTCTATACATGCCCCAACGGGGGATCAAACCCACAAACCAGGAATTGAACCAGCAACCTTCCGGCCAGGCTATGAGATACAACTTGGCTTAGAGCTCAAATATTTTTAAAAGTTGAGGCTGCCATTAGTAAATTTATAAAATTCTGAGAGGCAGGCGCTCTAAATATTTTGGTTGAAACAGTTGGTGAACTTAAATCTGGTCTCTCTATGTACAAATATGAACTCATGTTTAGTCAATAGCATATGTAGTTAAAAATACTAATTGTTCTTCATGTATAATTTATCAGTTATGGCTTAAAGGAATCCTGTTGATTTAGGAAGAATCATTGAGCTAATATGTATATGTGTCTGTGTGTACTATTTTTATTTACTTACTTTTTGCTAAGCTAATGTATATTATTCTCCCAAGATCCACCACTCTGCCACCAAACAAACTAACAGTAAAGCCCACTGATATTTTGAATAGAGGACTAAATAAATGTAAATATTTATTCTATTTGCTCTTTGTGAGAAAGATTAGAATGACGATAATTTATAAGAAATCCCTGTGTTCATAAACATGGTATAAGAAGGTACAGATCTAAACTGCAGTAGTTGGTGGTGGAAATGGAAAGGAAGAGATGGATTGGAATGAGGATATATAATATGAAAAGAATCAACACAATGCTTTTGATGTGGTATTCAAAAAAGGAATAAAAATATTCTAACGTTTTAGTATGAGATTTCAAAACAATAATGGTGTTTTATTAGTAACGAGGAATTTGAATAAGAAAAGTAAGTACCTGTTTATGAGAAAAATTGAGATCAGTTGTTAGAGTGTTAAATTTTGGTTGTCAGCTAGGGCCTCCAGATAGAGATAGAAAAAAGAGGGGCCAGAAAAAAAAATATTCAGAAGAGAAGGAGAAAACAAAACAGACACTGAAGACATGGAAATAAAGCTGTTAGGAAAATAGATTTGCCCAGGGACAATTTGTTGGTAGCTTTGGGCAGCTTCTGCAAACTGGTAGGAATAAAAGGCAATTTATAGGATGTTATATAATATAGAGAAGAAATTCTTCCACTCATTCATTTATAAATTATTAAAGCCTTAGGTAGGGAAACACTGTGATGGCACCAGGGAAGCAGTTGAGACAACACACTTGGCAGCCCTTGCCCTCATGGAGCTGACAGAGAAAGAAATGGTGAAGCAATAGAAGTGGGCAGGGCAGATTAAGATTTAGCCACAAAATATGAGGGTAAAGTGGACCAGAATGGTAGCAAACTTAATATTTATAAATGTGACTGGTTGGCTCATCAAGTTAAAATATATAGCTGAGATTTGAGGCTTTTTTATTTTGCTTTATCTGCAGTCAGGGGCTAATCTCCAATCTCCAGATGCTGTTCTAGCCAAATGCAAGCCACTGGCAACAGAGAGGGTCAGAGTGGAGTGGGTTCCCCCAGCAGCACACAGGAGAAGTAACACAGTTGACAGGCATGGGGAGCGTACCTGATTAGAAATGGGGACGTAATCGGACAGCGGGGCGTTCAGAGTGCTGGAAAATTGATAAAGAGAACCTGCCTACAGACGAGTGGAGAGACTGTAGAGTAGGACAGCCAGGTCCACTGAGAAGCCGCCATTCCTTCAGAGACTGGGGCATATCTGACTTTTTGACAGAGTACACTAATTTGGACAGAACAATTTATGAATAGCCTGAAACAGAATACTATTGGAATAAAACATGTATCCTTTTGTTACTAGACAATGACTAGTGGAAGTTCTTCAAGCATTGCTATGACCAGAGAGTGAACTAGAGGCACTAAGTCTGTAGTTCATGGAAGAATTCCACAGATGATTATTACTGTTATCAATGAGTTATTTCAGTTTTTGGTCATGATATTTTTTCTTGTTTTTTTTATTTTATTTTATTTTAGAGAGAGATGGGAATGGGGAAAGAGAGAGAAACATCGATTTGTTGTTCTACTTATTGATGCATTCATTGGTTGATTTTTGTGTGTGCCCTGACAGAGATCAAATCCGAAACCTTGGCTTATGGGGCGATGCTCTAACCAACTGAGCTACCTGGCCAGGGCTTCTCTTTCCCTACATTGACTGTGAAGATACTCTTCATAGATCATAGTGGTGCTGAAAGTAAAACCCCTGTGGAGAAACTGGAAGTCAGGCTCCATGCTTGTACTGTTGTATTCTGTGGAACTGTCTTCGATATGCTTTTTCCTCTTTTCTTCAGAGACAATGGAGAAGAAGTTGGTAGAAGAAACGAAACAACTGGAACTCGATCTTAATGATGAAAGGCTGAGATATCAGAACCTTCTGAATGAGTTCAGTCGCTTAGAAGAACGATATGATGACCTCAAGGAAGAGATGACTCTGATGTTGGTAGGTCATCTACTTTTGCTTTTTTTTTTAAATGAAAAATTTTAAACATATACAACAGTAGATAGAATAGGAGAATGAACTCCCATGTATTCCTTGTACTCATCACCCAGTTCCAAAATGGAAAACACTTTTCTACCCCTCCATCCCACCCCATCCAATGGGTTGGATTATTTTAAAGCAAATCTCAGAAATCATGTAACTTTATTTATAAATAATTTATAAAGTCAAACACTTTATTTTTTTAAAATATATTTTATTAATTTTTTTACAGAGAGGAAGGGAGAGGGATAGAGAGTTAGAAACATTGATGAGAAAGAAACATCGATCAGCTGCCTCCTGAACACCCCCTACTGGGGATGTGCCCGCAACCAAGGTACATGCCCTTGACCAGAATCAAACCTGGGACCCTTCAGTCCGCAGGCCTACGCTCTATCCACTGAGCCAAACCGGTCATGGCTAAAGTCAAACACTTTAAAGACTGGACTATAAGATAGTTAAAGTCAGTGTAGCTGGACTTTGTTTCATGTATTGAATGACTTAATGTAAAATTTGCATATAAAGCAAATATTTATATGCTTATTTTCCTCTACTGGTTTTTATTATAATTTCAGAGATATATTCCTACAAGAAGAAGATTCAGCCTCTATTTGTAATAAATGATCTATTTCAAGGACTCTTCTGCATTTGCCAGTGTACCTTTTAAGAGTTCTCCCTATTTTACTTAACCTGCTATCAGGAAACAAAGAAATCCCTAGCTCTCTTGTTCCCTAAAGTGTCAGCCTTTAAGGTAACGTCATGGTACAAATGGCCAGAAATGCTTTGAAATATCTTTTAAACAAATAGATAATTCTATATCTGTGGAGTTCAGTACTTGCTTCAAATTTTGCCTCAATCTGGATCCTTTGCCAAAGTTCTTTAAAATGTGATGTTTAAAAAGTCAAAATAAAAAAGATTATGTAACAAAAGAAATGAAATAAATTTACCATCTTGAAATGAGAAAGCCTAGTCTCGAAGAGATTAAAAAGCTAAACAAATTCCACAGTTGGACCATTATTTCAAACCTCACTATTCTACTCTGTGATTTATATGTGACAAAGAAATTAGAAGTAGGACTAGGTCACCGTTATCCTTGCAATGGATACATTGGAAGGACCCTCATTAAGTCTTGTCCTCTTTGCTCTCCCTGCTGCACTTGGCCCTGGAGAAACCTTTCTTTGTTCACATTCTCTCATTCCCAGCTTTCTCTAGAGTCCTGTGTGGTTAATGGGTCTCCTTAGTCAGAGGAGTAGTCACCTCTAGAAAAGACCCTCCAGTGATTTCCATCAGCAATTTACAGGGCTAGTCCTTCCTGCTGAGCAAGTCTGCCTGCTATTTATTTTGTTCCCAGCTGTGCTATGGAAAAACAAAAGATGTAACCGAGTTCCAGGAGTAGTTTAGCTGCTTGTTTTCTGATTTCTCAGCCTATTTCCCTCCCCATTGGATGCCTGTGACTCATTGTCATTCCTCTTGGGTAACAGAATGGTCAGAGGAAGGAGCCTCAGGGGTAGTTTGGTTTCCTAGCTCCAGATACAATCAAGATTGCAGTCTTTTCAGGAAATGTTTGGTGAGAATAAAAAAATTTGACTTTATATTTAGGAGTATTGACATATTAATAGCAGCATTTTATTTTAATGATTAGAACTTAGCAACTACTAGGTGGGTTCTTGGCTAATGTTTCATTGACATTGTTCTACAAATGAGCTCTCACTGCCACAATGCTAATGAAGCATTTTGCAGTAAATATGTTATCAGTGAGGAGAGCTCCAAGTTCCCTTCTGTTGCTTTTGGGATTGGGCTTCTTGCGATCCTAAGAAAAGGAATTTTCTGAGGCCCGCACGGGAGGATGAGGTATTGTAGAGAGCTTTATTTCTGTGGAATTAAACCCCTAGCTTTCCCAAGGTCCCATTTCCCTTTGCCCTGCCATAGAAGAAGTATAGCTGTGGCTTCAGCGGAGCTAGAATCAGTATCCAATCCAGCATCAGGGTCGCTTAGTTTGTGTTCCCAGTTGCAGTCCATCAGTCCATTGCATGTGGGGTCCACAGGCCACATGGCTATGGAGGAAACACAGGCAAATGCAAGAGAGCCACAAGCCAAGAGAGTGAAATCCTTTGTGGGATTATGTATTTCCAAATTTACTAGGGTTTGCAATGGCCCTACCTACTCTAGCCAGTGTTCTCTGTTTCCAGGTTTGACTGACAGGTACCTTCCCTAGTCACCCCAGCTTTACTGCACGTGTGCCTATCTCCCCAATTGTCCCAGTCCCTTCCCTCAGTAATCTGCAGGGAATGGGCCAGTTGTTTCCTGGGGAGTGTGAAGTTGCAGCTTCCTGGTGAAGCTGCCCAAATGACATGCCTATAATGTCTGGCCTCCCTTTTGTTCCTTTCCTATTATTAATAACTAACTAATTACAATGGTATCAAATAGACTCCTCAAAGGGATGTGGGGAAACTTAAGGGAGGGAAATTGATAGACTGCCTCAGGGCTTCCCTTATGTGAAGATAGTGCCACTGATTACCAGAGTCTAAATTTGTTTTTCCTGGTACTAAGAAGTGTAGGATTTTTCTCCAGGAACATTCAATTGTAGGGCAGAAGCAAGTAAGGGCTATGGCAGTGGTTCTCAACCTTTCTAATGCCGCAACACTTTAATACAGTTCCTCATGTTGTGGTGACCCCCAATTTCATTGTTACAAATTGAACATAATTAAAGCATAGTGATTAATCACAAAAACAATATGTAATTATATATGTGTTTTCTGATGGTCTTAGGCGACCCCTGTGAAGGGGTCGCGACCCACAGGTTGAGAACCACTGGGCTGCAGAGTTTTAAGCCAACAATAAAAGGATAATGAGGCCAGTGAATCCAGGCTTATAAAGTGTTTGAAGATAATTCCAAGTAAGGAGGGAATCCAGCATGTCAACAATAGGGTCATTAATCTTGACAAAGGGAGTAAAACAAGATTCAAGAGAAGAAAGAATTATGAAAGAAATGACAGATAAGGAGAAGAGGAGGTGCTGCACACAGATCTTGAAGGAGAACATGCTGATAAATGTTCATCCTTGTAATTGAATAGCATATTGAATGAAAACGGAAGGGCCACCAAGGGAGTTGAATTATTGCAGGGTCCTAACAATTATAGCAGCATCAGTTACCATTCATTGAATGCTTGTTATGTCCCAGGTACTATGCTAAATTCTTTACTTGCACTCTCTTATGTAATCCTCACATAAACCCTATGAGGTAGATAATATTATCCCCTTTTTCTAGAAGATGAAAATGAGGCCTGGAGAAGTTGTGTAAGGGACAGGCAAGTGGCAGAACTGGGATTCCCACCCAGCTCTCCCATGTTTTCAACCCAGAGCACTTAACCATTGCCATGCATGCAAAAGTTACAGTAAATAGCAATTCTATAGTATTGCTTCTATTCATACCTGAAGATGTTTGTTTTTTAAAAATACATACATGTGGGAAAATAGGGGTGTCACATCTTTAATAGACTTATTAAAAATTGTTGTCCTAGTATTTATGGACCTGTTTTTCTTAAGAACATACCATCCTATATAATAAAACCCTAATATGCAAATCGACCGAACGGCGGAACAACTGGCAGAACGACCAGTCACTGTGACACGCACTGACCACCAGGGGGCAGAAGCTCAATGCAGGAGCTTCCCCCTGGTGGTCAGTGTGCTCCCACAAGGGGGTTGCCGCTCAGCCAGAAGCCAGGCTCACAGCTCCACTGCAGGAGGGTGGTAAGGAGTGAGGGGTCCCAGACTGCAAGAGCCCTGGACTGCAAAAGGGATGTCTGAGTGCCGGTTTAGGCCCAATCCCCCATGGGGGACCGGGCCTAAGCTGGCAGGCAGACATCCCCCGAGAGGTCCCGGACTGGGAGAGGGCGTAGTCTGAGCTGAGGGGACAACCCCCCCCCCCCCCCCCCCCCCAATTTCGTGTACCGGGCCTCTAGTTTATTAAATAAACACCATCTTATCCAACTGTTGTCTTAGGCTAGGAACTTTAAGTCAGAGTGCCTATATGTGTAAGCAGAGTAACCTGAGCACGTTGAGCTTTATTTGTGGTAGTTCTCCTGTGGTGTGTGCCCAACTACTAGATAGGTCAGAGGTTCCTGTGTTCTGGGGTCTTCCCTATGCACTGGCATGCATGTTGGGATGGCCTGGGAGACTCAGCTGCCTCATATGCTGGCTTCACTTTGGTTGCACTGATGGATCTGCTCCCTGAAAGTCTGGATGGCAGAAGGAAAGAGGCAAAGAACCGCCTGTGGCTTCTGGCTCCTTTCCTGCAGTTGGGGGAGTAATATGGGAAATTGGACAGGTCAGAAAGCCCTCTGAGGCCCTTCTGAAGCTCCCTGTGAGATCTAGGCCACCAAATTTCTCCACCTCTTCTGCTGGGGGCACCTGAGGACTGAGGGGCACAAACCCAGCCTTTTTTCCCCTTATTCCTTCAAGTCATTCTCCAGCCCCTTCTACAGAAAGAAAGGGACTGCAATTGCTTAACTTTTCTGTTCCCCACAAACTTTCTGAACACAGTTTCATAAGTACCACGTGCCATAAAGTGTCACCTGGACTCCCTGAGTGAATAACCCAAGGATCTTAAGAGCTTTCTTAGAAAAGTTTTCTTGACTCTCTTGCTCTTTCTTCCCACTGCTGACTCCAGAGAGTCACCTTCATGCATAAAAGTGACAGAAATTACAGTCACTTTGTGGAAACCCCCTCTTTTTTATTAACTATGCCCAAACACAGCACAATAAAATGACTATGCTGTCATTAAATACACCTTATAAACTTTTTGGTAAGGTTTACTTGATTGTGACATTGAAGTCAGTGTGTGGATGCTGAAGCATCCTACTTATGCTCCACCAGTGTGGCTGGCCACTCACAATTTAAAAACCCGGAGGAGACTCTGTAATAGCCACAGGTGACTCTCATTCAAGCATTTGGTTTTGCCACTGTTCTTATCATGTCTGTTGGTGCATGTCTCTTTCTTTGAGGAGCTCACAAGGTGACCCTTTTGTGAGAGTTTGGTCAAGACAACATGGAATGGATCATTTGGTCATGAGAATAGCAAGTCAGTGAGTAGAGATTAAAACCAGGTTAAGATGGATGCTGTCTTAACTATACCAGGTTTAATTTTGTTGTGTGGATTATATCCTGTTTGCCTTGCAGAATGTACCTAAGCCTGGACACAAGAGAACAGACTCCACCCACAGCAGCAATGAATCTGAATACACCTTTAGCACCGAAATTGCAGAAACTGAAGACATTCCATTGAGGACAGAGGTACACTTTGTTTTGTTTTATTTATTCATTTATTTATATTAATTTTAGAGAGAGGAGAGAGAGAGAGAGAGAGAGAGAGAGAGAGAGAGAGAGAGAGTTGTAGAATTGTAGAACAGCCAGCCTTCCTGTGGTTTTGGATGATGTCCGTTTTGTCTTTTAGTTGTAGTTTTGAAGTGGTTGTGCAAGGCAGCAATTTCAGGTGTTTACCTATGCTGCCATCTTGATTTCTATTTCATTCTTTTTAACAGCTATAAAGTATGTCATAATTTGGCTCTACCATAATTTATTTAAAAATACTCCCATTAACTAACATTTGGGTTCTTTGCAGTTTTTTGCAATTACAAAAATAAGGCTGCAGTGAACATCTTTTTCCATATATTTTTGTGTACTTGTGTAAGTAGTATATCTGTGGGATTAATTCTTAAACATAGATTGCTAGCTTAAAGGGTATCACACGTTTAAATTTTAATAGATATAACTAACTTGCTATTTTAAAAGGCCTACTTTTACTTCCACCAACATCATGTAAGACCCTGTTACTAAAACATGGCATTATAAATCTTTCCAGTCTTTGCCAATCTAATAGGGGAAAAATAATACCTCACTGTTGTTTAATTTGCCTTTCTCCTATTAGCTAGGTTGACCTATTACATGTATACTCTTTGGTCCTTTGTATTTTTTTGTAAGTTTGCCTATTTTTTTTTCTGTTGGGCTGTGCATCATTTTCTCATTGGCTTATACATCTTCTGGATTGTCTTGACCGTCTTATTTTTTCTGGGGATTAGGAGCCAAGTGAGAAGAAGGTACCACTGGACATGTCACTGTTCCTCAAGCTCCAGAAGCGGGTCACGGAGCTGGAGCAGGAGAAGCAGGTGATGCAGGATGAGCTGGACCGCAAGGAGGAGCAGGTGCTCCGCAGCAAGGCAAAGGTGCGCAATGCTGTCCACCCCAGGGCCGCAGGCAAACCCAGCACTGTGGCTGGGACTTTATATCCAGTTCTGCAGTTTCTTCTTAATGGAAGCCCAGCCCAGAAGTACTTTAACCAAGTAGGATTTGGTTCAAGTAGTGAGGGCTGACCTCTCCTCACTGTTTTCTGCAGAGCAAGGAAATATTCTAAGAGTAAAAAATGTAACAATTAAAATATAACTACTTGTTTATAAAATTTCTAATTTATCTTTTCCTTAGGAAGAAGAACGGCCACAAATTAGAGGTGCAGAACTGGAATATGAGTCACTCAAGGTAATGGAATATTTCTGCCCAAGACCTGAAATAGAGATCTGCTGAGAGCCTCTCTTTTTCTCAGAGAATATGTTTCAGGGCACCTGAGGCCCTAGCTTAAGTTTTATGCAGGCATTGCTTCTAGCCTTGTATTACTTCCTTTTATAGGTTCTATTCTGTACAAAATGGAGTTCAGTCTAAATAGAAACAGGACCAGTAGCTAAAATTTGAGGCTGTAGAAGGTAGTAAAGGACATGGACTCTAGCATCTGCCTGGGTTCAGATGCTAAATCCACCACTATATGGCTGTGTGCAAGTCATGTATCCTTCCTGTGCCTCCGTTTTCTATAATATGGGCATATTGATAATATTTATCTTATAGGACTCTTATGAGGATTATGTGAACTAATCCATGTAAATTGGTTAGAATAGTGCTCAGTGCTGTTTTTAATAGTATCCAACAAATGTTGGCTATTATCATTATCATCATTTTTAAAATACAGGTATTTTACGTATCAGCTCTAATTCTTACAACAGTCCTGCAAGTCAATATTTTAGTTCCCATTTTATAGATAAGAAAATTGAAGCTAAGAGATATAAATAACTCCCCTAAGCTCACCCCACTGGAAACTTACAAGAAACAGGATTTGAACATTGGTATCTCTGGCTTCAAACCCCCAAACCCCACTGAAACTATGTGTTTATAGAGAAAGACTGCTAGGCATTAGTTTGTAGAGTAGAAACATACTCTAACTTATTTTTTTAAAAACAACTACAACAGTTGGGAGGAAGGGGATAAAGGTGGAAAATTGTATCTTCTTAATGTTTAAAGGCAATGTCTAACTGGACAGTAATAAGCTGCCACTGTGTGTCCCAGAGCACTCGGACAAGGTGACTGGCACTGGATTGGGAGCAGTAGTTCCTGGCATACAAAGCACCTTGGTAACACAGGAGTTGAAGTTTAGGGGTGGGTGGGGAAGAATCCATTCCTTGATAGAGAGCAGGCTGTGTCTCCTCCTTTCACCCCCCATGCCCCCTGACACACACACACACACACACACACACACACACACACAC